CTTCCTGCCTTGAATTATGCCACTTTCTCTTTGTTACGCTTTCCATGCATTTGGTGTGGGAAAACGTCTCTCGACTGTCTGATTAATTTAACGGTTTCAACCGAGTAGGGTTCGCCCTTGAGAGGTTAGGAGTTGGGCCTTTATGGTTCCCTCTTTTTGTACCTGTATTTGGGTCCCACTCGGTGGTCATTACTCAGAAGAAGAAGCCCTAGTATTTGTGCCTCTATGGTTCTCTCTTTTTCTACCAGTCTTTGGGTCCCACTTGGTGGCCATTACTCAGAAGAGGCCCTCATATTGTCGAGTGATTTGGCTGGGGCCAACTGTCTGGCGCCCCTGGATAATCTGCTGCTCGGCGGATTTCAGCACAGAAGGACGCTTTTTATTAGTTTATAAATTTTAATTTTTTAATCCGTTTCAGTTGAAGAGCTTCGGCTTAGTTCTTAGGATTGTGATTCCTTATATCCCCCTTCCTTGGGTTTCTTTTTATCCCTGGGGTTAATCCTATGTTCTCAAAAAAAATGAAGAATGGCCAGAAAAATCAGCTACCGAGCATGCCAACAAAACCCCCATCTCAAATCTCGAAAAAGTGTGTGCAAAAGTCTTACGAAAAGCGACCACCCTCCTCGTTTCATGTTTGCTACCACTGTGCGACACATGATATTGCTGTTGCAAAAGTCATTACTAAGAGTGACCCCCCCTCCTCTTTTCATGTTTGCTATCACTGTGTAACATATGATATCGCTGTTGCAAAAGTCTTACCAAAAGCGACCCTCCCCCTCCTTCCATGTTTGCCATCGCTGTGTAACATATGATATCGCTGTTTTACGTAGCTCACCTTCTTCTTGCTTTGACATTTCTGGTTCTCTATGATCGCTTGGCAGCCAAGTTCTGGGATCTTGACAGTGCTGATGCTTCTTGCTATGTGTGATCGTGTGACAATCTACGGTGTCGGCGGAGGGAGAGACATCCCATACCATGTACGTATTCTCCAGTCTCTCTGCCTTTGTGTATTGTATGTGGGGGTACGGTGCCACCATCACTTATTCTATTATTTACTAGTATTATAATACTATTATTACTGCTATTTCCACTGCTTTTCTATCAGTTGTTTAGTAGATGTGCAGGGGGCATGCTTATGTTTTCTATCATTCCGATTTTAACGGATGTCCGGATGGACACTTCTACCACCACTGTGACGAGTACAGCCAGATGTATCGTAACCACTGCAATGACCACCACCCTCGCCACCATCGACACCATGCTACCATTACCGCTACCATTTCCTCCTCCTCTCTGCATTGCAAAAATTCACAACACAATGTCACTGTGAGTTTTTGTCGTGCAAAATAACAGGGAGGCGTGGGAGGCTTCACTGATGCTTGGGAGAGAGGGCCTACCGTGCCTCCCCGCTATTTTACCGCAAAGAATTGTGCTACCATATGACGCCAATATCTTGTTCTGCACAAAATTGCAGAGAGGGGACTGGTAGGCCCCCTGGTAGTCCCTCTGCCAGGGCTCGGTAGTGGGCTCAGTGGCCCTGTGCTATTTAGTATTTTTCACCCCTCTGCCAGGGCTCGGTAGTGGGCTCAGTGGCCCTGCAAGTCTCACAAGCATGCCGCGATGAACCCTTTTTCTGAAATTTTTGGGTTTTCGCCCTTGTTCAACATTAGCTTATCACTAGAGTTCGCAGGACACAAAATGGTGGAGAGTGGTGCCCTCCACCAAGCTCCGGTAGTGGGCCCACTGGCCTTCTCTGATACTCTGCAAATCAAGGACATGGCGCTCGCGTTCATTGAATTGCTTTCTTTTGCACATACAGACTGACATACATCAATCATGCCCTGATGGGGGGAAACTACTTCAAGTTATCGGAATGCCGTCTGCAATGCGAACCAGCTTACTTTCACACATTGTGAAATCTACAGACAGAGGGGTCGAACCTTGCCGGGAGTTCGGCAATTGCCAACTTTCAACTGAAGTCATCAGTCAGATGGCTGGCACCCAATGCCGGGCATAGAATATTTGCAGATGTGGACCAGGTGAATACTTCTTGATTCTAACCAGCTTAACGGACGCACGGCCATTCGCACAAGCCCAGTTGTTTGCGCGCCTGCATTGTAAGATGGAGGTTGAGGGCTCGAGACTAGCCGCGCTCAGATGGAGCACTTGTGGCGCATGCTGCAGGTCGGCTTAATAGCTCGAATTGCGCTCGCTCTTGGAAGGTCCCCTTCAATTGGACCCCGGTGCATTCGCATCTTAGCGCAGCATTGTAAGATGGAGATTGTGGGTTCGAGACTGGCCGTGGTCAGATGGAGCACTTGTGGCGCATGCTGCAAGCGCCCGCTCTTGGAAGGTCCCCTTCGATTGGATCCCGCTGCATTCGCATCCTAGGGCCTGGTACCCCTTGGGGGAAACGGTCAATCAGGTTGTGTAGGCTATTGTATTGGGGTTCTGGATTGTCCTGTACTCGTCGGATTGTCATGTACTCGTCACAGGGAATTGACTTAGCTGTCTGGTTGTTCGCAGCCAGGAGGCTGCGCTATACAACTTGCATTTTGTCGCGTAGCGAGAAAGTCTTTTTCAGGAAATGTCGACAACGGCGAAAGGGGTTTATAGGGCGGTAACACGGGTAATTGAAGGGTGCGGTCGCTGTCGGGGCAGAGACCGGTAGGCCGGGGGGGCAGACCAGCGGTCACGAAAAGCGGTCGGCGGGCCGTTTTCATGGACGGCGGCCGGTTCTCCATTTCGGGCGGCGAGGGTGCGATTTTCGGATTTCGGGAGGCCGGGCCAAAGTGGGTTTGGAGGTGTGCACAGCAGATGCTGTGCTGTTGTAGTAACGGATGCATCTTTCCCTTCTGTGTGGGAAGATGCACTCGTTGTTTTTCCCGGGAGGAGTTGCTTGTGCTCGGAAGTTGACTATCGTTATTTTATTTGCTCTTTCCCGGGTCGACATTCTTTGGTTGTGGCCGTGAAGACGCACTTGTGCAGAGCGCTTCAAGCCCTGCCCGCCGGCCGGTCTCGCTCCCGAGTGGCTGCGCTTCCGCGCTTGCGCGGCACAGTATGTTGTCCTGGTCATCCTGGTAGTCTGTCTGTCTGAGACGGGGGTGGGGTATGTATGGGTGTTCTATGGGGTGACCTGATAGCTCGCGCATGGTGTACGGAGGGGGCTTCACTGGGCGTCTGGATACCGTAAAGGTCTGCCAGTTCGGTTCGGTGCCCTCCTCTGAGTGTCTGGGTGGTGCATGAGCTGATAGCCTCGGTTGCCTGTTCAGGGCCCTGTCCATACCTCAAGCCTCCACACAACCTTATTAAAAAAAACAAAAACTGTCATTCTAGTGGAAGCAGATTGATTCTAGGGAAAAGACGCTCATTCTAGTGATTCCCACCTACTTCCTGATTTTCACCACTAGACAGGCTCATTCTAGTGAAGGTAGATTGATTCTAGGGAAGAGACTCATTCTTGTGAGAGTCACTGGGACGAGGTTGTCGACATCATTAGTGACAGTGTGCATTTGTGTCTGTCTGCATCTCTGTGTGTGCTTGCTGCCATGGGTGGTTAATTTGCAGTATTTTGGGAACGAGAGAGCTTATAATGGTCATTCATTTAAATTGGAGCACTCTTTGATCTTCTCACTAGGTAAATTTTCTTTTTGTTCTTTAACAAAAACGGGGCTTTTGTATTATGCTGGAAACCGGGTCCCGCTTCCCTTGCATCAGAAGTACTCACTCCACCCATCTCCCTGTTACTGTCGAGAGATTCTGAGACAGCAGCATTGATTACCCCCCAATTGGAAGTATTTACTATTGCTCCACCGCTGTTTTTTTAAAATACTGTGACTTCTACATGGTAGGACTAGAAGACAGCAGTGATTGCCTCGACTACATGGTAGGACTAGAAGACAGCATTGATTGCTTCGCTTTGGAGGGATTAACTGCCAGATCATGAGTTGAACTTTTGTGCTTTCTACTCTATTGAGTCTACTTGAAACAGTTTTCACCTTTGGCAGTAGCCGATGCAGATCCCAGGGGTCGATCCCTTGACCTCAGCTTACCTGTGTACAGTATCTGTACAGTTCCCTGGAGTTGAACCCGTGACCTGCACGATAGCCAGTGGTAAGTAGGTCACCGTAGGTTGTAGGCTGTAGGAAGATTCGAACTGTAGACCTGTAGGGTAAGAGTCCAAGTAGAGTCCAGAAGCCC